AAAATAAATATTTATTGTTTTAATATTATTTTAATAATAAAAATGTAAAATAATATTAAACTAAATTACAAATGAATACTAACTCATTTTGATTTATAGAATAATAAACAACCTTCTATAATATTTATATATAAATATTTCATATTTGTAGTTACCAATTACACTAAATAATAGTTATACAATAACTTAATTCTATTTTTTTGTAAATTATAAACTAAACGAATTACACTTACAGAATAACAAAATACTACCATAAGATATTTTTAAAAAAGAATTAATTTCATATTTTAATATACATATCTAAATTCAAACATTAGCATATAAAAAATAATATTTAATTATATGTAACTGATAAACGAAATAATAATAAACAAATTCTTCAAACCTCCGCCAATACGTAATAATATATTTATCATAGATAAAGTCTTAAAATCGTTTATATATATAATTTTTTATAAAATAAATATTAATAATAGCTACTATTGATATTTAATTATGATGGAACATGTTATTATTTATATTAACTGATTATAATTTACGGGTTATTCCAATAAACAGACAAAATATTTATCAAATATAAAATTAATTTAAAAAAATATAAAACATAATTTAAGTTATGCTTGGAATTTCAAGTACCTATTGGGATACGGGNTTACGGGTTATTCCAATAAACAGACAAAATATTTATCAAATATAAAATTAATTTAAAAAAATATAAAACATAATTTAAGTTATGCTTGGAATTTCAAGTACCTATTGGGATACGGGTTGAATATTTTGAATCAAAACTAATTTATATCACATCATATGTGTCATAATTTGTAAGTAGACATGTTTGTAAGTATAGATCAGATTCAAATATATCACGTCGGGTTTGGTTCTAAGTTGTACACATCCTAAAACCGATAAAGTAACCATATATCGTTCGGATTCGAGTTATATTGGTTTGAAAATCTAAAATCTAAAACCAAAACAAAAAAATATACTTATTTTTGTAGAATTAGATATTAAAGTACTTATTTAAAATTTAGATAATTAATTTTAAATATCATTTTAAAATAAATAGAACGGAATATTTAAACTAGATATTTATGTTTCAAATATTTATATTTACGATTATTTTGGAAATTCAGATCGATTCAGATTTTTTTCCAGGTTTTTCGGTTTTTGGGTTATTTGTTCGGATCTGGCTAATAACACTTTGATTCAGATTTATTTTGTAACACCCTAAAAACTCATTTTGATATATTTTTGACCGGTTATGGATCCAAATTTTTTTTGTTTAAATTGAGTTTAGACATCGAGTTATGGATTTTATGCACATATCTACTTTATATTAAAAAAATGCGGTCATATAAAAATTTTCACCGAAAGATTATCCTGCATTTTAAAAAAATACTATGTTTAATGAAATTAATGAACTAAACAAGTTTATCTCACATTTTACATGTATATAAAGTGCGATTATATATGTTTGCATCAAAAATAAATCCACTCTTTGAAAGCGCGAATCAAAATTTAATCTATTATATTAAAAGAGAACTCACAACTTCTATTCATGTGTGATATTTTTTTTTTAAATAGACATTTCGTAGAAAAACTCATTTCATTTATTTCTTATTAAAAATTTGACATAATTAAGATATCACATCTTATTTAATCAACACATATAACAAATTCACCTATAATTTTTTAAAAAATTTTATTTCTAACTATATAAATTCTGTTGGAAAAGAATATAACAAAATCTTACAAAACAATTTAAATATTTGTATTAATGTATTAATTAATTTCATAATTAGTAGTCAAAATTATTTGAATATAACAATATAATTATTTATATAAAACTATATACTAAAGCTATAGATGCTAAATTGTATATTTTAAACACAACCAGAAAATATAAATGATCCTAAAAAAATATCTCTTATATCGTGTAACTAAATAAAATTTATAAATATTTTTCTTGCAAACTGTAGAAAGATGTATAAAACCTATAAAAAATATTCTGAAAAGGGTCGCCTATTTGATTATTTCAAAATATTAATTTATTGTACCGAACTGAAATTATATTATTATATAATAATAATTTATGACAAGTTAAAATGTATAAAAAACTGTATGGATTAATAATGTCAAATAAATAAAAAATAAAATTATAGAATTACATTATATATAGCATTAAAATGCAAATCATATATTTAAAATGTTTATGATAATATCAAAGTTATACATTTATAATATAAGTATAAAAGTATTCAATAATAAAAAAGGTTAAATCTTTGTTAGATTGAGAAAAGTACATATGTTCCCCCCCCCACAAAAAAAATATGTTTTATGACTTTTGAGAACAAGATAATTGAATTACTAATTAGTAATAATCCATATATTGACATATTATATTGTCCCATTTATAAGATGTATGTTGTTTTAATAGATAAGTAGATTTATATATTATTTAAATCCCAATTTAAATTTATATATATGTTTGAATTACATTACATAAGAACTTATGTTCTAAAAATATACCTTCAAACTTAACATATTAAAAAAATATATATATTATTTTTACTCTAATCATTTATTTTATCTTTTCTATTAATATCTAATACTAAATGCTTAAAGATTGGTGTATATGAATATTTTAAATCTGTCATAAAATTCAAAAAAACAAATACTAAGAAAAAATATTTTCTTACTATAAATTAAACTGAAACTAGATCTATTTATTAGATTTAACAATAGAAAAAGAAATATAAAATAATTTTCAAATTTTGGAACTTTACATATATTATTTTGCCAAATAATTAAAGAAAAATCCAACAATATATATATATATATAATAAATAAAATATGAACGTGAGTTTGAAATAATTAATTAAATAAAACAAACAAATTATAAAATTTAGATGTTTAAAATAATATAAATAATTAAAAATATATATTATTTACATAACAATAATAATAAACATCCGCACGATCATGAGGGTCAAGCTCTAGTATACAAGTATAATAAAAAAACATGAAGTACCAACCACTAATTAGTCGTGGTTACTGGTTATTGTGTTAGTCTCCGTTGCTACCCTAAAAGATCTTTCTTTAGGAAATTTGGGGAAAAAAAACATTTTCTCTAATTATTACTTTCATTGTTTTTTTTTTTAACAATACTTTCATTGTTTTCATCGCTAAGAAATATTGCAAATTTACTCTCTCTCCACTTTATTACTAATAACATATTTAATTTCAAATTATTAATTATATCCTATTATTTTCTAAATATAGCGTTATTTGATAACATATTATTACACTTAATTTAACTAAAAACAATAATATTAGATTTATAAAAGCTTCATGTATATCTTTTTCCTACAAGAAATCAACTAAATCATTCTAAAATGAGAAATAAACTTCTTTATCTTTTGATTTTTTAATTGAACCAGAAGCTTTTGTAGCTAAATCTTCATGTTCATTGTTATTGTCGTGTATAATGTTTTTACCAACTTCACTTGGTGCTCTGAAATTTCTCTCATCATCAATTATTATATTGTGTAAAATTATAAAATAAATATTATGTCTAAATTACATATTTATAATAAAATGATTCTTTCACGATATCTACGAGTATTTGGAAAATTCTAAATATTGTATTCCTATTTTTTCTAGCATGCTTATTTGGAAAATTCTAGTACATTTAATATATTTTAAGGATATTTGATATCTTAATTAATTAGACATAAACTTTAATATTAAATGGGTACTGTTAGTGCATAAACTTTAATATTAAATGGGTACTGTTAGTGCATATAATTTATTTAATAAAAATAAGCAAATTCAAGTTAAGGACTAATTTCTAATTAAAATTTATATTTTTCAAAACTGAAATAAGATATGAAATACTATTAAAACAAAATTTCTTTTAAAATGAAAAAATAAAAAATGAAACAGTATTTAAGATAGTCACTGATGATTAAAAAAAGACTGTCAATATGTCATTTTGTTATTAAAGGCTTGACTGGTTTTTCCGCTATCACCCGTAAATACATTTTTTGCGGTTGGTAGCGGTTGTTGGCGTTTTGCAACAATCACTCAAATCGCTCTGAATCGTTTCAAACTGTTCTAAACCTCTTAAATTCAAAAGTTGGTTCTAACTAGCGTTTGCGATTGCAGATGATTGCAAGATGGTAGTTTTTTTTTCAAAAAAATATAAATACAAAAATAAAAATGTTCAATATTTTTTTTAAATTAGAATTGTAAAAATACGAAAATATATCTATTATATTTTAATTAATATTATTTTAAATAATATTTCAATAATTTTAAAATTTTAAAATTTTTAAAATATAACTTCATAAGTATAATTTCTATATATATATATATATATTGTTAATTATATTTATTGTTAATTTATATTTTAACCGCTATTGCATTTGGTAGTTAACCAGTTATAAATATCCTGCAAACACACGAATTTGTAATTGAAGTACCAGTCGCACAAATCTTTTAAAACCACAAAAAATTGCACCCACTCACACATCTACTCATATCTGCAAAGTTCTGCAACCGCTGCGTTTGAACCACTCATATCTGCAAAGTTCTGCAACCGCTGAGTATGAACCAGTCATACCCTAACTCTATACAATGCTTATGTATCTTGCAAACTCTTTTTAATATCAAAATATATAAATTTTATCGGGGAAAAAATCTTACACAAGTTTGATGTGAATCGTGTTTGTATATGATATACATCTCATCTATATATAACCGTCACATCTTAATTTAATATGTACTTTAAAAATCTATTCAAATTCCAATTGCACAAACGAATCATACATAGCTGTTAAAAAAGTTAAAAGAATGTGTTTAATACTAATTTCATAATCGTAGAGTATACAAATGTATAAAGAATCATTTATTTTGTCGGCGAGTGTTCTGTTAAATAGCTTATTAGCCAATACCATCGCATTCCAACTAGACCACAACTCATCGGTAAACATTTTTCTCATCCATATAAAATCATTTATTCCCCAGCCTCACTTTCCCATCAAACGCAAAAACTTCAAACGCAATGGCAACCATTCATCTAACTCTAGCTCCTCTCCTCATCCTCGCTGCTGTCCTCCTCTCCACGGAGGTAACTGCTCAGCCCGCCGCACCAGCTCCTGGCCCTGCCGGTCCCATCAACATCACGGCAATACTTGAAAAAGGTGGTCAATTCGCTACTTTGATCCGTCTTTTAAACACAACACAAGTGGGTAACCAAATCAACATCCAAGTCAACAGTTCGTCAGAAGGCATGACCGTGTTCGCACCAACAGACAACGCTTTCCAAAACCTTAAACCCGGAACCCTAAACAAACTAAGCCATGACGACCAGGTCAAGCTCATTCTTTACCATGTTAGTCCCAAGTTCTACACATTGGACGATCTTGTCTCCGTAAGTAACCCGGTAAGGACTCAAGCTTCAGGACGAGACGGTAGGGTTTATGGACTTAATTTCACCAGCCAAGGGAACCAAGTCAATGTATCAACGGGTGTCGTTGAGACACGTGTCAATAATGTATTAAGAAATGAACGTCCTCTTGCCATCTACGTGGTGGACATGGTTTTGTTGCCGGAAGAGATGTTTGGAGAAAACAAAGTCTCGCCAGCGGCACCTGGTCCAAAATCAAATTCTCCTGATGTCTCCGATGACTCTGAGAAAGCAGGGGCTCCCTCAGAGAAGTCTGGCTCCGTTGAGATGAAGGCTGGATTAGGGTTTGGTCTTGGACTTGTTTTCTTATGTTTGAAGTTCATCGTTTGATTTGGTTTCTATATGTTATTTTCTTTGTTTTATATATTTATTTATTGTGTGAGGTGTAATAAAAGAAATTTTGTTGGATATGATGCAGGGTTTGAAAATTGAAATAAGAGACTATATTCCAAATTTTGCATATATGATGATAATAGCTATAGGAGTTTTTTTTTTAAACAGACTAAAACAAAACGAGAATAATCTCACCCTCGCAATTCGTTACATACTACTGAACATAATTTTATAACTTTAATACTATGAAGGCAGACTGCAGTGCAGTTCTGCGATAACAAGATAAGTTCTGGACTGGACTTTATTATTCCATCTTCGCTCTCAGTGTCGGATCACATACTTTTTATAGCTTAGGCCTCCACATCATATGGTCCACGACATAGTTCTTTTGTGATTTTTGTCAAACGATGAGAATTTTCCATGTTGTGTCTTAAACCATTCCAAGAAGAGAAGTGAATGCTGCATAAGATAATTAACGACTCTGTGAAAAGTTCAGCCAGCTATTGATAAATAGGAATGTGTTTAACAAAAACTGATACCAATGGTGGATCCAGCTCAAAATTCTTAGTTCTAGGGAGGAAAAGCTAAATTTGATGTGTCACTGAACAGCTCTCGTCTACTGTGAAGTGCGATGCCTGCCAGGATCCTTAAAGTCAGAGCAGAGTCACGTAATTTAGAAGTTGTTTCAGAAACTACATGATCTTTTGAACATTGTTTGCTTCTTAGATTCAAGTAGAGCGTTTTTAATTGGCTCAATCACTATTGCTACAAACTTTGAGGATCATATCAGTGTCTTTGTTGAAGTTAATAATGCCCATTGTAATTGACCAATAAATGTCGAATTCTCTTGAGAAGATTTTAATCCGAAGTGGTTGAAGCATGCATTTTTGGGTAATAAAAGTTACAGCAAGTTGGCCCTAGTGAATCCAATTGTATAGAATGATCAGGTGGTGAGAGTTTGTAGAGACTAATCTTAGAGCATGTCCAACGCGGGATGAAGACCAATCCTTAGCATTGACACGTTGGCAAAAGTAAAAAAAAAATTAATATTTTAATTGTCACGGGTAAGGATTAATCCTTAGGTAAGGAGAGGAAGAGGCCGATCCTTGCTGACGTGTCCGGTTCGCTTGGGCCTGATGGGGAAAAAAAATTTCATTTTGTCTAGCAACATAAAAAAAAAAAGCTCTCGCGTCCAAGGGGATAGAGAAGGCGAAAACACAACGATCGTTGTTCAAGGTAAATCGAAAACTTGTACTTGATTTTTTGTCGATTTGGAGTTGCTGCATGTTGATTTCAATAGTTTGTGGTGTTGGAGTGTGAGTTTTTATAGATTTTTTCAGGGAAATCGATTTGGGGATTTTGAAAAAATTAGGGCTTTTACTTGGGTTTGCTAATTCCTTCCTTTCCTTGCAGTTCTTTGTTATTTACTTTATGGATTACTTGCGGTGGAGAGGTTCGCGGAGACATGTGGCGCAGAAACCAGTGGTTGGTTTTGAAGTGGGTTGACGGTTACAGACGACGGAGTGACGACGGCGACGGCGCTGGGTTTGGTGGTGGGTCATGATAGCTTAGGGATTGTGGGGTGGTTTCAGTGAAAAGAGGAGAGTGAAGTTGAGTGGGTGGTGAGAGAGGAGGAAGGGAAGTTCTCAACTGGCTGTAATATTTATCATATTGAGTTGCATAAGCTTGACGATGTTGTTTACTTTGCTGATGATGATAATGTTTACTCGCTTGAGTTGTGCTGGAATGATGTTAAATTTATATGTTACAATGATTAGTTTTGATCATGGCTTCTCTGTTCTTTGCTGCGTTTTGCAGGAAAAAAAAAATGATGATGAGCAGTACGTGTGGGAGTCTCAGGCTGGTGGGTCTTTCATATAATTAGTTTTGCAGATCCTCCTAGTTTTGTTTATGCTATTTGTTCTTTGTGACCATTGCTATTACAGGTGGCAGGTGGTCTTGTTTTGGAGAAGACCTCATCCCCAATAGGTGTACTCCTGATTGTTTTTGAGTCTCGACCTCATGCAGCTGTGCTTTACTCACAAACCAAACAGATAGCTACAAGGTAAATGGATTTACAAACTTGAAGCTGCTGCAACAAGTCTTTATATCTTTTGTTAAACTAAGTATTTGCATTTGGGCTACAGCTTGATGACGTTATTGATCTTGTGATCCCAAGAGGCAGCAACCAGCTTGTTTCTCAGATTAAAAATGCTCCTGTTTTAGGTCATGCAGGTACGGTTTCAACTTTGTTTTTTTTATAGAATTCTTTAGTAGGATTGTGCTAGAGAAGTGATGCTGATTGAATTGTGTATTTCCAGATGGAATCTGTCATGTATACGTCGACAAGGCTTGTAATGTGGATATGGCTAAGCGCATAGTTTCTGATGAAAAGTTGGATTATCCAGCAGCTTGCAATGCCATGGTAAGAGAACTTCTACCTTCCCCCAAGATTTCAGTAATTTAATGAGGTTTTTTAATTTCATCTTCTCTATCCCCTTGTCTTTTTTCAGAAAACTCTTCTTGTGCATAAGGATCTGGAGCAGAACGCTGTGTTCAATGAGCTTATATTTGCTCTGCAGAGCAATGGTTAGTCATAACACTATCGAGATGTCTCATATTTTAAATTTACATGTTTTTGTGCTTGTTTTTTTTTGGAAAATTGGTTTTCAGAATTCTTCATTCACATTTTATCATTCAATAAATCAAAAATTTAAATTGATATGTTTTACAATTTTTTTTTTTTTTAATACCTAAGGATTTCATAATGAATAACACCATTGGAGCAACATTTGTCATTAAAGATCCTTAACTATTCTAAAAAAAAAAAAAAAAAAAAAACTATTAATCTAATCCTAAGGACTCCAATGGTGGGTAACACCATTGGAGATGCTCTTAGGTAATCAATCACCCATGGGTGCTTTTGTGGATTCACTAGGGCCAATTGGCCCAGTATTACGTACGCCCCAAAAAAGCCTCTCAAATAAAGAGCTTCCATATCCCACATCGGATAGCTCAGATGATTTGATACTGGAGAGTTTAGTATAAATATACTTCAGTCTACTCGTTTATAAAGTACGCAGCCATGTGGTGAGCACAAAGCGAACTATTCTTTCGCCTTTTACTAAAGAATACCGTGTGCTCTCCATGCCAAATGGCATACGCCTATTTTTGGAGGGTTTCTACCTACGGGTGGACCCAAACACTAATTAGTATCAACTTTGATTGAATTCTTTCGGAATAGAAACTTATTTTAATCTAATAAACCAGAAATGCAGCTGCAGAGTCGAGTGATAACATTATTAGAAGAGAATGGTTCCTGAGCTATGTGCTTAAGTAGAAAAAATGTTGATCTTGAAAATTCAAAATATGCAGGAACAACCATTGACATAAAAGCAGTCACTACCCAAGCACAGGCCAGGAACTCGAGAATATAAAAGAAACCACCTTGAAGTCATAATGCAACCATCTTTACTTAAGCAGTCTAGAAGAGAGAACACCGGCTGATTCAATCATTTCAGCATCAATTAAGTTTATACTTAACTGGACCACTAATTCTATGTGTGTAGTAGCCTGGTTTTGTTTTCGAAATACGGTTGCAGAAGGTGAAACCAAACAGATATCGATAATATGCATATTTTTACGTGGTATGCATAACTTCTGTTACACTGTAAATCAAATTAGACTAGGTATCTCTTTCTATTTTCCTGTTACTTTGATTGTGTTATAGTTGAGTCCTGCTTCTCATTTCATAAGGCTTTCTCCCACAAAAAAACTGCAGAAGCAAAGCATGTTTAGAGCTTAGTTCCGCGCAAGTAAAAGTGAATTTTATTGTCATTCTCTGCTTTTGTGTTCTGAGACTTGTCTGGTGTTTCATAGTCAAAATGCTTGTTATGAGGAACAGAACCGACCCCGATAATTACTAGAACCCAAATGAAACTTATGAGCCCCATATGTTGAACTATAGATCTCTCTGTTTATAGCATAATGCCAGTGCCTAGGTTGCACTAGAGATCTCTCTGTTTATATGTTTGTTAAAAAATAACCCAACATGGAAAAGCTAAGAGTGCTCGCTCGCTAAACTTATAGGCCAAGCTCTACCGAACACTGAAGCTTTCATAACTCTGTAAAAGATTTAAAATTGCAACTAGATATAAATGCTACCAGATGTTTTCTTTTGTATAAGATTACAAAGTAGAATATTCTCGTTTATCTAGGTGATACAAAAGAAAAGAAAGTACACAGCTAACAAACAAAATCAAATCGTATCTAACCAAGAATCAAACTCATCTAAAACTTTTGATTTTCCAACTGTCGACGACGAAGAGGCCTGCTTCCCCTGTGGTTTGATTGGTAATGAAGAACTCTCCAGCAAATCATCAAGCACGTCAACAAAACCCGTCGTGTTAAGCTTTTGATCAGATGGGTTCGCCTGTTTATTGAATGGTTCTTCTGCACCATGAGAGTTGAGAAGAGAGTCCAGGTCAGTTTCAAAATCTGAAGATCTTTTGACAGAAGGCTTCTGACTACTGGAGACACTGGCCACTGGGTTGGTCTCCTCACTAAAGGAGCCGAGAAGGAAATCAAGATCAGCTTCAATTGCTGAAGACTTCTCTGTGAGAATTGGTACGTCCTTCGCTTGATCTATAGACTCACCCTCCAAGACTGATGATCCTCCTTGTGCATCGACTGACTCGATCTTTCCACTAGATTCTTGTTGAACTGGCTCATTCAGCCTCGTTGTCACAGCGTGTGATTGAGCTGTACGCTACACAATCCCATAACATCATCAAATAACTCAATAATAGAGCCTAAACCATTGTTTAGATACAGAAAAAGCTTTACCAGCTCAGAAGGCAAAAGATCAGCGTCAATGTAAAGTCTCTCATGCACATCCACTTTCTCTAGCATTTTCTCCAACGCATTCAAATCCAACGAGAGGAAACCAGGCTTCACACGATAAGGAAAACAATAAGCAAAGTACTTAAACAATAATCCTAGCAAGAAAAACATATTATTATTACCTCAGCTGATCCATCTTCTTCCACGACAACAAAGTTATCATCTCCCATCCATGAAAGTATACCTTCCCCTCTAGCGGAGATCATAGATCCAACCACACGACTAAACTCATCTGCAAAGACTCTCAACCAATAAGATTGATTGAAGAAGTCAAAAGACATGTAACTGGTTCTATGTACATACCGTGCAAAAGATCATCTAGAGAATCTGGATTGATGTCAATCTTTGATTGAGACTCGGATTGAGCTTCGGATATCAAATTCAGATAATCTGCTCCTTTGCTCTTTGCCACGATCGCATCCGAACTAGTTGTCGACAACACATCACCAGAAGCCAGATTGAGTTCATCATCGTACCGATCCCAATTCGACGGTAGCCGAGATTGAACCGGAGTTTTGGTTTGGTTCCCTTGCAGCTTCTGAACGGAATGTGGTTTTTTGGTGTGGTGTTGAGTGTGAGCTCTCTTCGATTTCGCCATTGCTTTTGTGTCCATTTTTCACAACAATCTTCTTAATCTTAACAAACAATCAAAAATCAAATTCAGATTGCAAATTGTAAAAACTGAACCAAGAAAATAATTAGGGTTTGGTTTCTTAATAGATTTGAGATCGACCAAAAATTACCTTTAGACACGAAACTCGTGCTGTGGAAGAGCTTAGCTTTGCTTTGATTGCGAGAGAGGGAGAGGGAGAGATTAAGGACGTAGCGCGGAGGGAAGACGAAGAACTAAAGTGGCGATTATCGAGATTCCACCAATACGACATCGTCTTGAGACAGACCATATTGGGTCATTAAAGCCCTTTCTCTTACACGTAAATGGACCTTTACGAAATACAACTATTATGTAACCTCAAGAACCATCTTAGGCCTGGGTATTCAGGTAGTCAGGTCGGGTCTTTTCGGTCCGGGTCTTTCGGGTCTAGGAATTTAGGACTCAATAGGGTAATTTCAAATTTTCGGTTCCGGATCGGTTCGGGTCGTACTGGGTCCGGATCGGGTCGGGTCTTAGATAGTTGGACCCATATTCGGATAATTAGAATTTATCGGTTAGGATTCGGTTCGGTTCCGGGTCGGGTTCGGTTCGGGTTTGACCTAAAAAATACGTCAATATACAAAAAAATATCTGAAAATATTTATATATCCAAAAAATATTCAAAATTTCTGTTTTTTATTATATTAAAATGTGTATATATATTAAACGATACGAGATACAACAACAATTCGTTGTCTCCTAGTTGTTGACCTACTTACTCTCTATAGAAACAACCCGTCTTCGAGTCTTCCTCAATGCATTTTATTTAATTTACCTTATTAATTTGGGTATCCATCGGGTTTCGGGTTCGGTCCGGGTCGGGTCCAAGACCCGCGGGTCCTCTACAACAAGACCCGATACGGTAATTTGATCGGGCCGATTCCTATCCGGACCGGGTTTTTCAGATTGGTTTCGGGTCGGGCCTTCGGGTCTAGGTAAAAGACCCAGGCCTAAATCATCTTAAAGAAGTAATAGTTATGGTTGCAATCTGCCTTACGTAAACGAGATATGGTGACGACAATTTTTTTTGGGAAAATTGGAAAATTAGGACATTCTCAACTTGGATTTGTCCCTATAAGACTTTTAGAAGATTTTTTGGGAAAATAGGATTTTCAAATCTGTTCATACCATAATACCCTTAAAATTAATCAATTACGGGGAATTATAAATTTAAATTATAAATAAAACAAAGCAAAAAAACAAAAAAAAAAGAAAACAAAAAAGGGAAAATCGGGACACATGGTTTAGAGGGGAAATCCCAAATCAATAACCCTAATTTTTTTTACATCATCTTCTCCGCCGAACTCTCTCCCATGGTCTCCGCCGAGCTCTCTCCCATGGCGATTCCGCTTTCTTTCTGACAATACGCGTGGGATCGGGATCGATCGATCCCAGAAAGAGTCGGTCGATCCCAACGGTCGATCTCGATGATTAAACAAAAACATAAAAAGCACGGAGCAGAAACTGATCGACCTTGTCCAGTTCAGTCGATCTTCACCGATCGTTCTCTATTTTAGATCGATCGATCCCGATCCCAAATAATAGAACCGAACCAAATCGTGGACACAATATTCTCTGAGATATTTAGGAAACATCTCAACCGAATATGGAAGTTTCCATATTTTACGGATTACCTAGAATATGTATACTATCAAAGGCAGAACACAGTAGAAAAGATGGGAAACATATTCTTTCTCAAGCGTCACATAAGGTAACATGCATAATTGGTTATTGCACAAAATCTGGCTGAGGTATGTCAATAAGTTATGGTTATAAATCGGTATCTAGCTTCACCTACACCAAAGACATATGCCTTGATTATAACGTTACCAATACTACCTTCGTTAGAATAGACACGAAATGTTATATTACGTTTCATACATCGGGTCTATCTAGCAAGAACACCCAGTATATGATTTCTAAACTGAGTAGATAACCAGAATGTGTATTCTATCTTAGCTAGAAGATAAAATAAAATATGATTCCACTTTTAAAAAATAAAAACTTAAACATATATGTTCTCCTACTTATGTTTTCTAGCCTTCTCATATTTTTTTCTATTTTTCAAAATTAGTTTACTATTTTTTCATTAATAAATGGTAAAACATGTCCAGAATTACCAAAAGTATGAGAAATCCTATATGCACAACTAAAAGTTCAAAGTGTCCCAATTTTCCAATTTTTCCATTTTTTTTTCTAAACAAGAATTTTCAAATTTTTTTGAATATTTAAACGAAATCTCATAGTTTCATGATTACCACTAGGGGTAGATAAATAAACTGAATCTGAAAACTCCAACCGAACCCAATAAAATAATCCAAATTCGACATAAATATTGAATGAATTTTGTCCTATGGTATTTCAAATTAGAAAGTTTTATCTAAACCAAACTCAAACCAGAATAAGTATCCAAAAAAATCTAAAAATGTCAACATTCAAAAAAAAGAAAAATCATCTCAAATCCGAATTTAATCCAGATAATTACCCAAAATACTGTAAGACTCCTCAGTACATAAAATAAGTATCTATTACATGAATAATAACTAGTTGCATATTCCCCGCGCAAGCGCGGAGCCGGGATCATTGTGTTTGCGTGTATTTTTTTTGATTGTTAGTTTAGTGGATTCTTCTAATGACACCAAATAATAATGAAATGGAAAAATGTAGTAAGAGTGTAAAGTGGAAATATTGTATATATAATGTGTTAAATGTTATTTATATGCGAAGTAAGGTTTATAGGATAGTTAGGCTATAATATAGTTTTTAGTGTGTAAAAGTAGGTGTCTATTTTTTTTTTTTGATGTAAATAGTTTTTATATCGTTGGTCAAAACTTGATATAATTCTATATTTATAGTATTTATATTTGTATTAAACGATTTATCAATTTGAAAATAATCTTAATTAAGTTAATATTCGTTGTTTAAGTTTCATTAGATAGGTTTTTATATATGGTTTTTTGTAAGTTTGGGTTTTGTTAACAAATAATGTGGCATTTTATCTACGGCGTCATCGACTGTGAGAATCCATTCGCCGGAGTCTGGAGTCGGTGGTAAGGAATGTTTTCAATGAAATTATAGTAGTTATTAAAATGTAAGAGAAATTACATATTCATTTAATAAAAAATGAAAATACTTAAATTTGTTGTTTATTTTATTTTATTTCACATAATTTTTTTTTGAAAATATATTAGGAATGTGTTAAATGTTATTTATATGCGAAATAAGGTTTATAGGAATAGTTAGGCTATAATATAGTTTTTAGTGTGTAAAAGTAGGTGTGTTTTTTTTCCTGTAAATATTTTTTATATCGTAGGTCAAAACTTGATATAATTCTATATTTATAGTATTTGTATTTGTATTAAATTATTTATCAATTTGAAAATAACCTTAATTAATTTAATATTCGTTGTTTAAGTTTCTTTAGATAGGTTTTTATATATGGTTTTTTGTAAGTTTGAGTTTTGTTCATAAATGATGTGGCATTTTTATCTACCGTGTCATCGACTGTGGGAATCCATTCGTTGGAGTCTGGAATCAGTGGTGAGGAATGTTTTCAATGAAATTATAGTAGTGATTAAAATGTAAGAGAAATTACATATTCATTTAATAAATAATGAAAAATAATTTAATTTTGTTGTTTTTTTATTTGATCTCACATACAATTTTTTTGAAAATATATATTAGGTAGTATGTTCAATGATTTAACTTTTTGAGCTTGTAATCTATATTATTCAAGCCTCATTAAGCCATCCACGTAGGCAGACACGTGAGACTTTTTTTTTTTTTTTGTCTGTTCGTTTTTGGATCCATTTTTACTATTTTTGGGTTGAGCTATAGTATAATAGGATAGTTTTAAGGCTTTTAAAGCAATCCGCGTAGGCAACCGCGTGAGATTTAGGGTTTTATTGTTCGTTTTTGGATCTATTTTTAACTTTTTGGGTTTGAACTTATTAAGATTTAGGGTTTATCCAACTATTTTGATATATAAAACAATAAGCCCAAAAAATAAACATAAAACCTTATAAACAAAAAGCCCATATGATAATAACCCAAATCAAAAAATCAAAAATACATGATAGTTGCGTGGTTTGAACCCACGATCTTGCATGATTAATTAGATACCTTATACCACTTAGCTAAAGTGTATTTCATTATTTGTAATTATCTTATCAAGACTATGTGTTTTTAAAAAATACCTACGGGACCTACAAAATTGATGACGTGGCGCGCTGTAGAGCCTAGAAAGTCTAATATTATAATATAGATTTAAATATTGGCTCAATTAATGAAGTTATTATGTTTTGAAATTACATTTCAAATTTAATTATAAATAAGTTGACTTTTGAAGTTTAAATAAGAGCAAATTGGAAAAATATGACACTCTCAATTTTTTTTTGTCCCACTAGGACTTTTGGACATGTTTTACCTTTTTAATGAAAAAAACAGTTTACAATTTTTAAATTTTTAAAATTTTCAATAATATGAAAACTTATTAAAAACATAAGACTATATGTATGTGTTTAAAAACTATTGTGTAATCATTTTTTATTTTATGTCCTACTTAAACATTGAATACTTATTCTAACAGTCTACTTAGTTTAGAGGTTGGACACAAAGTACATTACAATGATCTAATTTGGTTATAAAATATAAATTTTTTTTTTTTAATTATTTATTCTAATCTTGCTAGAATTTGTTTAATTGCATTATACCTAGATATCGATGGTTGACATCTACCTCGAATATGTGTTCTCTATTTACTCTATGGCCCAACTTAAATAATTTATGTTTCATAACATGTTCTAACCATCACCTTAGTGTGTGCTTGAGGCAGAATATATATCCTCCCGATTATTCATCGTTCTAATCTACGTAGATTGTGTATTCCACCTAAATAACGTAAAATGGGAATTTCCATATTTCAGTTATTATCTTTCTTAAATCTATAGTAAATCTCGTAGAATATATTTTCTCCCATGACCTTTCTGTTTCTGTTTCTCTTTCTTCTTCATCCATATCACCATCTCTTCTCTCTATCCACACAAACATGGTTCGTATCTATGTTAAATCGGGTGTATAGATATCTCGTTGTAGAGTAGTGTTATACGAAATTTGGTGTAACACTATTAATCACACCAAATATTTATATACATATTTTATTTAATAATAATTTCAACTATTATTTTTTTCAAACTTATGACTAAACATAATATATTATATTATTTATATAAAGTTGTTTTTACATACTACAATATCTTTAATTTTATTTTCAAGTAAAAAATTACTACATATTTATTATCATTTATTTTAGTTTTCTTAAAATAAAATATTAAAATAATATATAATTAATAGCTTTGTAATATAATTTAAATATGATTAATATTTTATAATATTTTTAAACCAAAAATATAAATCTAATTAAATTTTATAATATAAAATTATAAAAATTAACAAACATAATATTAATGTGTGATAAAATAATTATTTATCAATTTTAAAATAATAAAAATATAAAATTTTAAAAATTAAAACATAGAATAATATATAATATTATTTTTGCAGTAATATTTGATATTATGGTTGCAGATGACAAAAAGTATTTGACACTAAAATATCAAATATGGTGTAGTTTCAACACAAAATTTAATGTTATGGTGAGAGACTTAGAGTTGTCTAAGCATATTACCTTTCGACGAATTGATGAAAACTTTTGATGTTTATTTATTTTGTTCGAACAGTTCTGTTTTCTTATGATCTTTATTTTTGTATGATGCATAAATTTTGATGTGTCTGTATTTATAGGTGAAACATTACCTCCTACATCAATATGTATTCGAATATGAGTTTTGACTAATAATTTCAATTATACCAAAATTTTTTGGGTCAAAGATGTATCTTTATAAATATAAAAAATTCTTTAATATCAATATATTATGTTTCTAATATATATATAGTAGTGTTTGACGGAAAAAAGAAATTATTATAATAGTGTTTTAGATGACTACAGAGGACATGGGTCATCCCCACCTCATAATTATATTGCCATGCCTTTGGATAAACGAGAAGACCATGGTCTTCCGTAAGACAAGTGAAAGAAAGGTGGAGTCTACGGATCCTCTACTCGAGAGTTAATGCATTTTCCTATTTCATTAATAGGAAAATCACAAAACAGNATCATTTACATTGTTAGGAAATTTCAAAGAAAAGAATTAAGAAGATAAGAAATGTAACATAAATAGTTAAATTTATTTCATACATAATAAATAGTTTTAAATTTGACTAGTAAATAAAAAACAAGAAGATGGTGATCTATTTCATGCATTAGTACGACTTCTAGCTTGGGTGTCAGTCAAGCTTTTCTTCTTCAAAGATATTTAGAAATCTTTGGCTTTTTATGTGAGTTAATTGGCTCTACGGGATCCTTTGTATTCTCCGGAATTGTAAGATCAACTCCAAACAGTCGGTAGCTAGTAGCCCCGGTGGTGGTTGACGTTTCTTTTTCCGCTTGAAGCATTTGCCCATTGTAGTTTGGTTCGGCAATGGTAGGTAATGAGCAGCTCATTGAAGATTGTGCGCTTGAATTTCCAACTTCTTGGCCTTGGCTCAATATAGGAACCCCCATATTTGAACCTATAAAAAGAAATAAAATGATAACTAATTCACAAAGAAGGTTTAACTTATTGAGTAGTAGTGTTTACTTACCAAACTCATACACTTCGTTTTGACGTTTATTTTTCAGTAAATCTGATTCGAGAAGGGTTGATGAATGTGTTGAAAGCTCAATTTCCCATGGAGATACCTTATCAGGTCTTGGAATTGTTGCCTATTTATCCCAATGAACCTATAAAATAAAGTTAGCGGATATTATTTATTACACCTTGAAAATATATTCTAAGATAGTATAATTAAAGTGGAACTAGTATTAATCTTACTTCTAGACTTCTCCATTCTGAATCCTTCCAATGAGTGGAGAAATCGCTCACTCCTATTATTGTTCCACGGCATCTATTGTAATATATAAAACCATTTGTGTAAGTAATCATATTTTAAAAAACGTAAAATAAATTTTCAATATTAACCTTATTTCATTAAAGTCACTTCCTTCGAACTTCATCGAAAACCTGGAGCCTATACTGAATTTCTTATTCACTCCATCAAAAACTTTATCAAAGTTGACAAGGAATTGACTTGACCTAATATCATCACATCAACAATAAGTAAAA